TAATATCGTGGATAGTTTGTATGGAGCATCGCGAGCATGGACATCGCTTGTGCTGCTGGTTTGCATCTAGGGAACCTATTTTTCAATGTTATGCTGCGATCGCGCCGGGTGGTACTGTTGCCAGACGCGATTTCCCTGCCCAGGCCGACATTTCTGGTTCTCCCTTTGCATTTCATGTGCAAAAAAAAAGAATACAGGTTACAGCACCAATACACAGAAACTACACGAGCTTTACGATAGTTTATGGCAAGACCACTGTATCTGGTAACAGATGATAGCACCCCCTTTCTATCGTTTGTGAACGAACAACTCCACGCTTGAGAGAAGTTAAAGCGGAGACTCCAATGTAGTTAATCATGGTATGGAAGCGCCGTAACGAACGAAGGCCAAGATCTCATTGTCTTACGTCAAGAGTTGGCTGCGTGAACGGTGTTGGAGCGATGCGTTTAGTTGAGCAGAGAATGGAAGCAGGGTATCAGCATGAGTTGGCATAGGTATTTGTTTTGAATTAGTGTGTCTACGTAGTCGCGCAATCACAGCGAGGTGCGAAGAGACGGATCGCACGGAACTCATTGTGTTGCTGCGCTGTTTGCTTAATAGCCGACTGGTTATCAGAGGGAGGTTCCTGTGGTCCGTCTATCATTGTTGGAACTAAACATGTTTCCAGCCAGTTTTCCGCTGATCGGTGTGTATGGAGCTTCCGCAATTTTTTTGTTTGCGCTTTGGGGCTCTTGGTTTGTAGAAATTGTTGGCTGTCGCAGTGTTTGTAACTTTAATTTATGTTTCCGCTTCACTTCTGCAGGAGGTGGGTTTGCTGGTATTCCCACTTTGACTTTTGCTTAGAAAAATGTCTTTTTATTAGTTTCATTACGTTGCATCTTATTTCATAATGATGACGTACTTGCAAGGTGCGCCGAGCAATTCACAGCATTGTAACGTAACAATACAGCCAGCACAGTGCATCAGTCATTGAGTCCATGTGATATAATAATGCAACAATGCGAGTTCCAATGCTTGTGTGTGTTGGCCCCCAGACAGGCTGGCCAAGCAAAAGTGACACGTTTCGCTGCTATACTTTCTCCGCAGTTTCTAGTTTAGTTTCTGGTCTAAGGGTATGAGCAACGTATCTGATACAGTGGTCTATGTATTTAGCCAGTCTACGTCCGTGCTGCAGCTTTTTCAGCTTTTTTTACACTTCTCGCAGTGTAACCGGGTAGATGTTACTGTGTTTACACTCGAGTGTTTGACGTTTAGCCTTTTATGTAGCAACGCATCTCCATCCACGTACAGCACGTGTCTGGTTCTCATACAGCGTAGCCCGGAGAGAACCAAAGTGAAACAACTGGCTGGTAGGATAGGATTAGTTTTTCGTTGAGTTGCAGCCAGCCACTTTCTCCTACCACTTAGGACAGGAGGGTGGCAAGGACACTGCAACTCAGACACTACAGCTGTAGGCTACCCGTAGAATTCTTTGCCCACTGGAAAGCAACGACCATCGTGATCTGTACATATATCGTTGGTTTAAGGGATTTTGGCCGGTGGCATGTGAAGGTTTTGGAAGTTTACAAAACGTGTTTTAAAATGCTGTCCTTTGGAGGCTGCGTGTTTGCATTAGCTTAGAGTCAAAGCTGAGGACAGTCAAAGATAGGGAGCAGGAAGAAGTGTGGAGCAGGACGGGGATGACACGCATCAAGTAAGAGCCGACAGATCGCGAGCGTTGAAGCCCCATGGTGCTGCAGAAGTTTACTTGGTACGAATGGGGGTCTGCCCAAACTCTACCTTCAAAGCTCGTAAAATTATTTTAAGAACTTACTTTCAGATTTAAATGAAAGACCTGCTTGCGTCAGCTCACTATTCTGGTTGTTTGAACTCCACTGGACTCAGAAAACTGCATTTTGGATGAAGCGATCACAGTTTCGCAGCAAACAGTTAGTTGAACATTCTTTACAGCCTCTCACCACGTGGAATAACCTAGTGTTTGCTTCTTGTTGCCTACCAGTGTACCTGTTTGAATGCTCGTTTGAATTAATCTGCGATGGAAGGTGAAACGTTTCAATTTCAACAATCCCTCGGTCCAGTATGCAACCGTTCTGTGGGCAGTGTGGATGTAGGAACTTGAAAGCCACCCAGTGCACCATCCATGAGAATGGACTTTCACACGTGAAGCGAGGAGACATCTGTGTGTCCAGGGCAGGACGAACTTTAGAAAGGTGGACAGAACATTTGTATATTCACAGATTCTGGAATTTATAAGGAGGTAGAAGGAGGAGATGCCTTTTTAAAGATTTTAATGTTGAAATTATACTTTTGTATATTTGTGTTAATACATGTTTGGAGAGAAGGGCAAATACTTTGTTTGTTGAAACCACATAACTACATAATTCAGATTGGTTTTTAAGGTAAAATTGAATTTCAACATTAAGTGAATGCATTTTACATTGTCACATCATCTTACCATAACATCTGCAGCCACTAAAATGCTTCACTTTCAATTCAACTACACTGTAAAACTGGATTAGTTAATTCAACTCAAACTGTTTGAGGAAACAGATTGCCTTAAACCATTTGAATGTATTACCTCCAACAATTTAGCATGAAAAATATTTGATTTGAGTACAAGTAACTCAAGTATTTATTATTAAGGTAACTTCGCTAAATTAAGTTATTATACCAATTTCATTCAGTTAATTGAAGTTAAAACTAGTATTACATATTACACTCATATGCAGCATTCATCCAAACGTATTTAAAATGTGTTATTTATCTGAATAAAGTAAAACTGCCTATAATGCATCTTATTTATACAGATGTTACCACTTTAATTGAAGTTATTTTCCACTTCTTTTTTTATTAAGATATGTTGGTAGAATTTACAGTGTATTGATAGGCAGTGTTTGTGATTTATAATCATTCAGCAGCAGATTCCAAACAAGAAGCCAAATGAAAAGGACTCAAATAAGTCCTGGATTGAAGGCAACAACTGCTGACATTATTCCGTGGATGTAATTGCATAAACAACACGGTAGCAAAGCAAAAATTGTATAATTACACTACACTATAATGCCCAATGAATCGAATGCATGTTTGTTGCTTAAAAACAGAACGAGGAGTTCAGGAGGAAGACCATGAATGCAGCATGAGACTCTTTGGTTGTTGTTGTTGTTGTTGTTGTTGTTGTTTTTACTGTATAGTGACAGGTGAAGATGCAGACAAGAAACGGGGAGGTGAGGGCTTTGACATGCAACAAAGGTCGCCGGCTGGAGTCTTAACTCTTTGGTTGTTATTGACGTTGCTGCTGCTGACGTCACCCGACGCCGCGCTCCAAAGCTTATGAAGTTTGCACACATACACACCATCAGACCAACCAGAACCCCTGCGGATTTCAAAACAAGGGCATGACTTCCGTTCTGGGAAACCATATTTAAGATTATTGCATGGAATAAACATTGTTGTGCCATATTCAGTGCAATTGTTCTATAAAATATGAAGTGAAATGACTTGTGATACATAGTGCAAAATGTCCTTTGGCAACACATAGACCTTGTCCAGCCGCACAAGATGGAAGATGTCTATATAGACACTTAACAAGGGGTTGAACAGTAAGCGTAAACTGAAACGTAAGTTTACTAAACATAATGTGCATTCAGTCCAAGCAAAGTGTGTCATTAAGTTGCTATGCAGTTGAAATGAATCTTGTGTACAGTAACATGGCAAACACACTGCAAATACTGATATCCATTGTTTGGACAAAGCAGCAGATTCAGCCCAGGCCAGCTTGACCTTGATTTGTTCCCCATGTAGGTCATCTATCGTTTTTTAGGGTGTTTTCTTTCACATGAAGTGTGTTTTGAAGTTAGTCACATAGAGATCTGTAGATACCATACCAGATGACATATACAGATGTATATGTGTATCTTGCAAGGACGTACAAATACAAGAAAAAGCCAGAAACCTAATTTTCACTATATTTTTGTCCTTAAAGGATCATACAAGTATATTTGCATTTTGTTGCCCATTTGAAGGACCAGTGTGTGGGATTTAGTGGCATCTAGCAGTGAAGTTGCAGATTACAACCAACTGAACACAGCTCTGTATTTGACAACCTGGGAACAAGAACAGGAGCTTGAGGTCATTTAGAAACAGTGTTGCTATTACACAATTTGTCCACCAGAGAGCACTGACAACTCAGCGTCAGAGCCAATCAGAGACAGAGTAGGGGCGGGCCTTCCTGGAATACAGGTGGGAAAAAATAACTCTGCCTAACTGCCTCTCAGCAAGCTTAGTGCTAGGACACAGTGCTGAAAATGTTGTTGTTAAAATAAAATGAGAAAAACACCAAATAGTTAAAGAGTTAAGGGTACGTTGTGGTTAAAGTTAGGACTCTTGTACCCCAACTACAGCCTCCAAAATGACCAAAAGTATCACTGTTGTAACATAGCACCTCTCTTAATACAGTTTTAAAAGCTGGAAATTACAGTAAGTAAGATTTATTTTAGATTATTTTTATCTAGGCGGACTTACGCTGGGAACTGTCACGTCCCCTATAAAACACCGCAATGGCTTTATTTTGAAACCTCTCAGCGGAAACGCTTGCGAGCTCAGCTAGCTTGTTAGCTAGCCTGCGCACCGAGTCTCCTTGCTGCCGCCGACAAAACGGTTTCGTGCGGGGCTTTCTCCTCCATCACTTCCTCTTTTTGAGCAATGTGTTGTCAGGCAGGGAGGTGTGAGGAGCCCGGCTCTTCACTCCTTCACGCTGCTCAGGAGCCATGGCGGAGCGGACACTGAGGAGGGAACCAGCGGCCGGAGCACAGCGTCTCCACAGCGGCGGCTGACACGAGAGGAGGACGGATCCACGTTACCTGCAGCACGGTCACAACTACTAGCGGAATACAATGGTGACGCCTCCTAAAGTTTTACACACATCTTTAGCTCTTGTCACAGACGGCCGGTTCAACTTTTCAATAAGTGGCATTGTCCTAATGTCGACGGGATCGTAGCGACGCAGAGTTTGTTCTGCTTTTCTTTTCTTCCAGCGTCTGTCCTGTAAAGCCATCTGCCCTCCGGCGTAAATCTGGCGCACTGTCCCGCAGTGGCTCACAGAGCGCCTCTTTAATATTTCAAAGCCGAGTCAGCGGAGGTTAATATGGGGGCAAAGCAGAGCAGCCCGACTGCTAATCCAGCTGCTAACGGACGGACCAGAGCCTACTCCGGCTCGGACCTGCCCTCCAGCACGTCCAGCAGCAACGGCAGCAGCGTTAGCAGGACTGCCGCTGGGGGAGCGAGGTACCACGCGTACGGTGCGCCCGGAGCCTCCGGAGCCGCGTCCAGCACCAGCCAGCACCTCGGAGCCAGGGCGAGGTCTGTGGGGGGCTCCGGAGGCTCCGGGACCAGACCTCAGTCCGGTATCAACATTCCGAACAGCAGCGGAGCCTACAGCTCCCAGGAGTCCGGCGGCAGCAGCCCGGAGGAGGCGGCGGACAGGCAGCGCTCGGGCGGAGGGCACGAAGGTCCCCGGCTGTTGATAGGATCACTACCAGCACACCTCTCGCCTCATCTGTTCGGAGGTAGGAGCAGAACTGTAGTGACACTGACCCCTGATGGTTTACAGCAGGCGGGTGGGTCAGGATGGGGGCCAGTGTTCTGTTAGTGTGCACAGGTCCAGTCAAATAGTGCACATAAACACTTCATCCAGGCATTATATGGAGTTAATACATGATATAAGCAGAGCGAGCAAGAAGAAACTCTGGAGTGTTACACAGATTGATGTAATCAGGAGATGGTGTCATGTGACAGCAGGAAAAAAAAAAGTCTCAAAACACTTGTTTGGTCTTTGAAAATCTGAAAACAGCAGCAAAGCAGGGCTGTAGGTTGGTTCTTAGATCAATGTCCACCGTAGAACATTTTGATTATACACCAGAACTAAACTGTATAACAGGTTTTAACTTATTTTGTATTCAGAGCTACAAAAATGAGTGGATTAGTTGTCAACTCTTAAATGAATGGCCAATTATGTTACTAATTAACATAAAACAAACTAAAAATAAAATAAATAAATAAAGGCCAAATTCTCTGATTTCAAGACGTCCACTTGGGCTTTAGGAAACACTGATCAACATTTTACACCATTTTATGGAGTAAACAACTAATCAATTAAGATTAAATGATAAGAAAACAATCATCAGTTGTAGCTCTAGTTGTATTTATTATACATTTTCTGGCAGTTTCATTTCCCAAAGTCTGTTTTCAAAGGTGTATCTGCACTGGCCAGGAAGTAACTAACTTTATGTATTCTCCTAAAATAGTCCACTTTAGATATAGTGAGTCTAAAAACCGTGGGTTTGTTGGTTTTATAAAGTACTAATCCCCTAGATTCTCAAAATGAATACTCAGGACGTGAGCTTAGTGTTCTCAAAGAGGGCTGCTGCTCTCAAGCCAAGTTGTAGGGAGAGATGATGCTGAAACTGTTAGTTGATTCATTGATTAGGCAATTGGCAGAAATAGTTTGACAACAATTTTTATAATTGATTGATTTTATCAATAATTTTTGTTTGTCCTTTCATGGTGAGGGCCAGGTTGCTGCTGTTGTCTTTTACGCTATATATTGAATACATGGGACTGTTGGTTGGACCAAACAAGCAACTTGAAGACATCACTTTCAGTTTTGAACAGAACAAACTATATCACGAAACAAAGTGTATTGATAGTTTCTATCACCCCTAGCGCTAAATACAATTCAGCTGTGGGTTTTAAAAGGTTTGAGTTATTTAAAGTAGTATAGTATATGCGATTAAAAAAAATAAGTTAACCAGCCTTTAAATCTGACAAACCATTGTAAGCCCCCTCTTCAACTTGAACCGTACTCTGAAAGCACTGAGTTCAAGAGCCAGACCCACAAGGAAGCAGAGCTGTGTGGATATAACGCACACAGACACTGATGGAGGAGCTGGCCAGCGAGTGAGTGGCCCCTGCTGGTTTTAATGGCATTCATGTGTGAGGACGATGACTCATGTGCGAGCTGAGCCAAACATTGTTAAGATAAACAGCGTGAGCCTCCTTGTGAATGTCTCGTTGATTTCATTGATCAGCCGTGACAGCTGCAGACTGAAGTCATCTGATCGCCGAACTTAGTCCCGGTCTTAAACGTGATCAAGTGACCCAATCAGCTGCTCTGGTGTCGTTACCAACGCTGCAACAGCATCCTCATTATCATTACCCAATCAGATGGCAAGGCTGTTTTTAGGTGTCCAATCAGTTCCAATCAATACTGCGAGCGAGGAGGTGCTACAGTATGTTCGGCATTTTGCCTGAGACCTGAGGTTCAGTTCTGAAGTGCTGCCTGTTTGGTTGTTCTGTTTCTGGTTGTGGACAACGTTTGCTCCCAGAGGAAGACAAATACTCTCTCAGTTCTGAGAGGCATTTGAGGAAGACAATAGGCTTGTTTGAGATGAATTTTGCCTCACTTGGAATTGGAAGAGAGCAGGTGGTTGCAGCCGGGAGAAGTGACAAAAAGCTGCAGTCACATTGGACAGTTTCCAGCTGAATAAAGAATGTACAGGAAGTGCTGTTAACATTTATCACATCCCGAGTGAATAAAATGTTATTTATGATTCCAATCTCTTCAGCTTCTACTCCACCGCTAATAATTATTGCTTAAGTGACGTTCTGTGTAATGAAGTAATAAAAAGCCTCATATCTAAAATTATTCTGACAGCATTTATTGTTGACCCTTTATATTAACAAAATTATTTTACATACAAATTTCATATAAACTCCTTCACATCATGTAATAAAGAAATTCAACCGTCAGTAGTTATATGGCATAAACACAGAGAGAGGAAAAACATTATTTCCATTATTGTTGTGTCAGCCATATTAAAACAGTCAGACACTAACACAGAGTGTCTGCAGGGTCTTAGAAAGTCTACGCAGAGCTTAAAATGTCTTAAATATGATTTTGACAACTTGAAAATGGATTGGATTAATGAAGTCAACTCCAAAACAAAACTGAAATAGGACCATTGCCAAATTTCCTTCATAATCTTTGTACCTTTTTGCCAGTATGGGCGTGAAATAGGTCTTAAATTGCATTCATGCATTGCATGGTCTTAAAAAGTCCTATATTTAAACCTGTAGAGACCCTGTTAACATCAGTGTTCTCATGTCCTACCTCATACCTAATGTGTTTGGTTTTATAACACAAGAATGAAAGAGCATCAAGGTTCTGTTATTGTATCTGAAATATGTGGAAGTTAATTTCTTCAACTTCTGTGGCCTCACATAAGATAGCTAACAGGTATTCACTGTGCGCTGCCAACTTTTCTATCATCTTCACTTTCTGACCTGTAGTTGGAAGACCTGACAAGATTTTTGACTTTTTTAAGATTTTGGATACAGGAAATGTCCACAATTAAGGAAAGCTGTGCAATATGACCCAAATATCATATCCCAATATTATTTCATATCCAGATAACAATAGGTATCACGATATAGCACATATTCTGTAAATTCAGTGAATAAAGTTTAGCAAATAAAACATATTTTTCTCCAGTTTTTTAGAACCTTTGTGCAAATTTGCAATTAAGCATGGAACAAAATGTAAAAGTAGGAAAAGTTAGTGGTGTTTGTGTCTGTTGTAGGAACCGGTACAGTCTGTGTCAGACTATTTACAGCAATATTGTTCGTCATTTGGACGACACTCGGCACTCTTCTGCTCGACATGGATGCAGGCAAGAAAATTTGTACGAAGGAACACAAACAAACATGGAGGGGAGTGAACGGAGCAATTCCTTCAGGAGGAAGACTCCAAACAGCCAAGACAAAAGGAGCAGCTCGTACCTAAAAGAGAAGCTCCTTCTGTCGCATGGACACGGTTTGGGTATGAAGAGTGTGATTTACGACACAACCAAATAAACAATAGAGCGTAATACGAAACCACTTACGTTTTCTTTTGTCACATGATGCATATCGTTATATAGCCCCAACCTGCAGTTTAGTTATCATGACATTGCTCCATTTCCATCCTGGCAGTATGGAAATGAGAAACCTGTCTATATCGACTCAGTCCCTGGTGATCTTTCCATGTGAGATGTTCAGCAGCAAGTTATTCATGTGTGAGTGTTGATGCAAGATAAAGTCGTCGTATTTCCTAAAACAAACATGTGAATGCACGGTACATACATGTGTGGCAGTGTGTGTACATGGGTTCTCAATGTGAGTGTGAGTCAGCAGATAACCTAATAATTAACTCAACTCGTCAGGTTTCCTTAATCTATAATGGTGCCTGGATGAATCCATAGTACACACACACACACACACACACGTATATGTGTCTGCAGGCTGTGTTAGCAGGTGGTGTGTTCTCTCTGTTAATGGTGTTAATGATCTTAATTTAAAGACTCCTCCAAATTTACACAGCAACAGTGTGATGAAATTACAGCAGAGCAGCTGGGTCACATTCAACCCAACAACTCACTGAATGGTCAGTGTGCTGAACGCTGACAGGGCATGAATCCCTGTGAGAAACATACAGATTAAGGTTAACCTGCACGAAATCGAGTGTGTGTGTGTGTGTTAACCTAACTAGTGGTATCTAGCCATAAAGGTTTTTTTGTTGTAACTGTCCAGGTTTTGAGCTATCCGTCTGAAATGTCTCCCCCCATCCAGATACAATGTAGATGAATAGAATTTAATTTGTGTTGCTCACAGCATTGAAGAATGACAACAGCAGCAACAAAAAAACAGCAACATTCTGTGAATTACCAGAAACAGTGAAATGAACAGTAATTATTTAGCTATTAAGCTATTTTCGACGGTCAAAATAAAATACCGCACGCAGACTCATCAGGCATCAGGCCAGAAGTTAATCAGTTAGAAGAGATTATAAGTGAAGACACACCGTTTTGTTTCCTGTTTAAGCTTAAAATACACAAGTAAACAACGTATGTATAACAGCGACACAGACGTTATAAAGCTGTGCCCAGTGGAATTTCGGGGTTACACATATGAAATGTGATTGGAGAATATAAAACCTGTATTTATTTTATTTGTTTAACCTGTCAAAATCCACCTCCCCACCTACGCTGATCTTAGATTTAGTGTTAGGGGTATGTACGTGTGGTTGGGTTAGGGTTTGGGTTCGGGTACTGATTAGGGTGGGTCTTAAGAGAAACTGGTCAAATTCCAGAAATGGTGATGTGAATTTTTTGGTGATATTTTATTAATTCTCAAAAACCCTGTGTCGATTTGTTTTTAAACCCCCAACCGGTAGACGTGTATAAACGTAAAATTAAGCACAGCGTTAGTTCAGGCAGGCCGCGAAGTCAAGCTCAGCTCTCAATTCCAGCTATATCA